CTTCATTTTGGAAGAGGATCAAATGACATGGGTATAATAGCTAAAAGAGCTTCCAATGATGGTATTGCAGAGCAGAATGGGAAAAGAAACAGTGACCCTTCTTCAAAGAAGCATGTGGTGCAAGGTGAAACATTTGTTTGGGGAAGATCAGTGTGGATCAGTGATGGAGAGCTCTGCAAAATGAGGACAAGGAATTTGAATTGCTGTGGTCCAACAGGCAGTGGAATTGGGCAATGAGAAAGTGATGACATGTGAGGATTTAAAAATAAGTGGATTCAGGTTGTAGCTTTCTCGATATTCTGGCACTTGAGAAGAGTGTAGTTGTGATTCACAGCTAGAACAACACTTCAGAAATCATGTCAAAGTGGTAATATGTCGGTAAATCAGTGGGAGTTAAGGAAAGCGGCCAATGTTTTGGAAGTGAAAGAATTGGTTTTGACAATAGACAAGTTATGTAATAAGAAATTCATTTATACTGAGAATGTTCACTAGCAGATTCAGCCTTTGTGAACTGGCAAGACTGAACAAGCACGGCTTCAATTTCATTAAGGCTCAACTGAACACTCAGCCAGGATATTTTATCTGATGGGCAGTTAGGTAGTTGGAGTCAATGCCAATAGCATAAAACTGTGTGTTGGACATGACTAAATTATATCCGAAAGCTTAACTCCTACCTCTGTGTTATGTAACCAAGAGATAATGAGCTTGATTTCTCTCTCCAAAATTCCAGCAGTGAGATGGAGTATAGAATTCAAGGCCTTGGCTTAACATTTTCTCTCTAACCTGCTCTAGGGACAGTACTGATCTCTCTTTCAAAACCATTGCGTCCAAAATGTTGATAGATGTCACATTATTAAGACATAAAAGAGATGTTAAATTGTTTAAACAAAATTATATTTCCTTGTTTAATTTTAAAATGGACTTTGCTGCAATAAAATTGTCGATTCCATGATGCAAGTTAACTGCAACTCTGGAAAGTTCCAACAGTGGTTGTAAAGACGGTGCTTAGAATAGATCCTCCTGGAATCTAAAATCCTTCCAATGTGCAGATATTGCAATCAACAAACACAAAAGAACAATAGATACCATGTCTTCTGGTACGTGCCGATAGTAAAGAGACCTATGCCTGAAAAGATGCAAATGGTCTACAATCTATCTCAAACAATGACCAATAGTTTTCTTTTTATAACCAGGAAAACTGATACTGAAACTTATTTCATTAACCTTGTTATACTTTTGAAGGTGCTATTTTTCCCATTTACTCTCCTAAGGTGAATAATGGACACTTAGTCAAAGAGATAGAAACTAAACCTGAGTTTGAGACTTTTAGCTAGGTCCAGGGTAGCTCACAAAAGGGGAAAAAAAGATCGCCTCCTGATACCTCAAAGAATCGTGCTAACCTTTTTGACTGTTCTAGCAAACAGCCACAACCAACAAAAAGGACTGAATTATCTCTTTCTGTGCAGCAATCATTTTGCAGAACTCTCCATCACTGATCTTCCCCAAACAAATGTTTCACCTTGCACCACATTGCTTCTACTTCTCCTTCTTCTGCTGTGTTCACCTGGTGAAGTATTTAGCCCTATACATAGCTTGTTCCTGAGGGATTTATGCTGTATACTGTTATATTGCTAGGTGTGTTGTTTTTAATTGTTGACCAAAGATGTCTCCTGCTCTTACCATCTACCACAGGTGGATTGGAAGGATGAATAGATAAATCATTGACTTGTTTGGCTGCATCATGAATGTACTATTGTTTAGAGGGATTCAAACAGCAATTGGAAAGATCCATAAAATCATAGTTTGATAAAAATAATGCATTCAAGCACTTCATTAGAGTTAGACTATCAATTTGCAAAAAAATAGAGTGTTTGTTCTTAATTAATAAAACACTACGTTTTAAGTGGGATGCTTATAAAGAGGAGAGACTGACCATGTTAACAAGCGAACAGCCGAAAAAGGGATATTGATCTTCTGGAACTAGGTTCAAAACAGATTCTTGGTGTTGAGGGTGAGTTACATATGGATGAAATAAATCTCTTTAATATTGGAATAAAGCTTAGAGATTGAAAGAAAAATCACAATAGATGGAGGTACCAGAAATAGAAAATGAGGGAGCTCAAAAGGCTTATTGGCAACGCCAGAAAGTTGTCATAATGAACACAATGGTGACAAGCTAAGCTTCCAGAATTGATGAGAGCCTAGGAGTATGGTAGGCGTGTAGATGGAGTAGGAAATCAGAAAGGTCATGATTATCCAGGAATAAGTGAATGTGATCAAGAATAGTATATACAAGGAAAAGAAAAACAGAGGCAATGGAGCAAATCCAGACAGAGAGGTAGAAGACAAAAGGTCCTTAGGTCTGGGACCAATATTTAGATGTGTTAATTGATCTTCATTTTATCAATCATTTTGATTCATATATAGGAATAAAATGCTGTTTTCAGAAACGTCACAAATTCTATGTCAATGTATTAAACTAGTACTGTTCAATACTTCATCCAATCTGTATAGCGTTGAAAGATTGATTCCATGGAACACCCACAGTTGGAAAAATTGAAGCCCACAGCATTTGGGTTTCAAAAACCAAAGGGTGTTGGCATCTAAAACTAATAATAAATAACTGCCACCTCAATACCTTTTGGTCAAAAACCATAAATCCTCTGGTAAAGGTGAGAGATTGGATTCCTGCAATTGTTGCTCCCAATGGTACAACAGTAACTAAACTGTTAAAAATTCCTTCATCAATTAGCAACTAACATCAATGGCTATGAGAAAAGCTATGCCAAAAAAAATAAACCTGCCATAACTTCTGAACGCAGAAAACATTACCATTAAGTGCATTATATTAGGAGTTACAACAAAATTAGAGATTGTGGCATTATCATTATGTAATGAAAGGGAACATAGAGAATACAAGTAATTCTATAATTAACATTTACTGTCATTGAAGTACGAAATGCCTTTAAAATTCTTAACAGAATTATTTTGTTGCATTATTTGTAACCCATAAACATAATGTACAAAAGTTACAACATATGTTTAATCAGGGTCATGCTATACTGCCAGTTTTGTTCCATTTCTGGTTTGGCTTTGAAATGGTCACATCAGCACCCAGACTAAGCTTAAATGATTCATCAGAACAATTACAAAGCAGCACAAAGTGTAATTATACATGCTATACCAAAATGTGGAAGTGGTATGGAAGAATATAAACCCTTAACATTGCCAGCAGCTCTTGCACAAGACACGCTTGTGGTATACTAAAGAGTATGTTACTTTATTATGGAAATGACATTTTTTACATGTGATGTATCACCTCAGGTTTCACCACTTTAAGAGTGTTGACATGGAAAAATAATGAGTTGTTAACATGAGTTGTGTAATCGGGTCTTATTTTTACGATCATACACATACCTAAAAAGATGAACTGAGAGCAAAAATAGAAATGAATAAGTATGATCTGGTAGACATTACAGCAATAAAAATAAAATACTGCAGATATCAGAAACCAGATAGAAAAACAAAAACTGCTGTAGAGCCTCAGAATGTTCTGAAGAAGTCACCAAATTTGGAAAGTTAATTCTGTTTCTCTCTCTACAGGTGCTGCCAGATCTGCTGAGTTTCTCCAGCACCTACTGCTTTCATTTTAGACATTACAGGGAAATGGCTGCGGGATGACATGGATCGCAACATGAGTCTTCAAGGGTATAGAGAATTTGGGACTGACAGGAAACTAAGAAAAAGTAGAGCGGTGGCTCAATTAGTTAATGAAGATATTAACACTGTAGAAAGGGATGACCCAAGTTCAGGAAACCAATAAGTGTAAACAGTTTTGGATAGAAATGAGTGTAGGGTGTTGGTAGATTGTTTGGGAATTCTATTGAAACCAAAAAAAATGCATGAATGTGACATTTGATTCCCAACAGGCCATGGTCTTAATACTTACAACTAAGATAATGATAGAGAAGTAATCTGGGCCTTCACTTGATTTGGATTACAGGTGAAGTTCCAATGGGATCAAGGTTTGAATTTCATGTCTGGGATTGTTCAAGAAGTAATGAATGGGCTGGATATAATAGAGTTAAAATGTTTAGCACACCATAATGTCATGAATATTCTCATGATCAGGGTGGCATGGTGGCTCAGTGGTTAGCACTGCTGCCTCACAGTGCCAGGGACCTGGGTTCAATTCCATCCTCGGGTGACTGTGTGGAGTTTGCACATTCTCCCCGTGTCTGCGTGGGTTTCCTCCCACAGTCCAAAGATGTGCGGGTTAGGGGAATTGGCCATGCTAAATTGTCCATAGTGTTCAGGGATGTGTTGATTATAGGGGGATGGGTCTGGGTGGGATGCTCTGAGAGTCGGTGTGGACTTGTTGGGCCGAAGGGCCTGTTTCCACACTGTAGGGGTTCTATGGTTTAGGATAAAGGACAGAGGTTATTTTTGGTTGCACATGGGATTCACCTGTTCAGCACACTGATTTGAGTTCTTTTTGAATTAGTTTACAGCTCTGAGGTAAGGACAGCTCTGAAACTAATCACAGGATTGAAGGATGAACCTACCATTTTAATCTATGGATATGAAACAATGGGCTGAGAAGCATGTCGATTCCCAAACACCTTGCCATAAAATGGTAACATTACCACTTTTACAAAGTGACCTATGGAAAAGGCCGTTCAGTAGCCCACACAATGACAGTCAAAAGAATTGGTAGAATAAATCATTTAACTGATACCTCAACTTGCCAAATAAAGAATAATCTGCTGTGTCACATCAATGTGTTGAAGCATTATCACCAACAGGAAGAGGATAAGCAAGTATATACATATCATACAGGTAATAAGGACAATGGAGGATGAAGCAGAAGGGGGATTAGATAATTCCCAATTCAAACCACCTACTATCCAAATAGCTAACACTGGACAAAAGGAGGTTTTGAACACATTGCTTTCTTACTTAAAGGCAGAAACACAATAAGACCAAACAAGGTTACTCACCAAATTTGCAGGGACAAACCAGGTTACACAATTTTAACCACACATGGTGTGTACATAGGAAATTCCTCTCCTATGAAACACTTTATTTTAAATTGCTTCAGTCCAGAGAAACAGGTTCAGGTGAAATCAGGAATTCATTACATGTTGGAAAACTACCCAGGTGAACACAGACAAAGCAGCTGAAGTTCTTAAGTACTATTACTACCTAAACCTAATGATGCAATCAGTTTCTGAATAAATTACAGAACGATCAATGCAGTAGCAAAGGCAGACTTGTACCCAATTCCTTATTTTGTATTGATAGGGTCAGCAGTATATTTCTCACCAAAGTATGCTTGTTAAAGGGATACTGGTTCATTTAACAACCAGAGATAAAGATATAACAGCTTTTCTCTCAGGAGACGGTCTTTTCCAATCTCAAGTGATGATATTCATGCAAAAAAAAAACTCTAGCAACTTCCCAGAGACTAATGTACCAAGTAGTATCTAATGTCCCTGACTGGGTACTTTACCTTGATGATGTTCTGCTGTGAACAAGCACTTGGGATGACCATTTGGAATTGCTTAAAGCTTTGTTTAGGAAATTACAATTGGCTTATTTGGTAATAAACCTTGCCAAAAGTGAATTTGCAAAAGTGTGAGAAACCTACCAATGGCATCTATTAGGCAAGGTCAAGGGCTGCCAAGCAACAGTATAAGCAGTAATGGAGTTCCCTGCCCCTAAAACTAAATGAGATATAATGAGATTTCTGGGATGTGTTTTTGTTTTATTGTAGATTGTACCAATTTAGGTGCTGTACTGATAGATATTTGCTAAAAGACAGCAAGCTGGTGTGATCAGGAAAGTGCCAGGTATACTTTGAGAATTTGAAGGCTATTTCATCAATAAACCAGTGTTAGCTGCATGAGATTTCACTAATGCCATCAAGGTAACAATTGGTGTTCTTGACTTGTGAGTGGGTGCAGCTCTGTTACCAGATGATTAGGTCAGACACAGCAAAGCCAGAGGATAATTTTCTAGAAAACTAAATCAATGCCAAAAGAGATACTCTACAGTGGAAACAAAAGTCCTGGTATTGCTACTGGCTTTTAAAAATATTTTGAAATATACGTCCAGCACTACAATAGAGAGGCATTGGTGTATGTTCATCGTAACCACCTAGCTTTTGTAGAAAACATTTAAAAGCCAAACTGCGAGGTTATTTTGCTGTGGTTTGCTATCAGAGTCTTATCTGTTAAAGTTTGTTCTGATTACAGGCAAAATCAATGTAATTATGTCAAGAATGTAACCTTATTTGAATTGTCTAAGAACAAAGAAGGAGATTTTTTGGGCAAGTTTTTCCCTAAATTACATGACTGATTAATACTGCTTATTTTTGTGTTGACCCTGCTGAGGTTGTTTTGAATAATGACAGGGTTGGAAAGAATCTTCTTTTATCTAGCTGGGTTGAACAAACTGCCAATTGGCCTCTCCTGTTTCTGAAAAGAAAACCTGCTACATCAGTTCAGATCGAAACCTCTTTGTTCTTTCAAAAGAGTGATTGAAAGAACATCTCAAGATTGGATTTCCTGAGTGAGCTGAGTCTGCAAAACTTCAGAGACAACTCTGAATGATTAATGACTTGACCACAGATGCTGGAATATCAGAGCACCAGACTTCAGAACAGTCCACTCCCTAGCCTTTTCCATTGGCCATTAACCATTGGCCAAAGCCAATGTCATCAACAGTGCTCTCAAGCAGCACCTGCTCAGCAATAACCTGCTCAGTGACACCCAGTTTGGCTTCTGCCAGGTCCACTCAGTTCCTGACCTCATTACAGCCTTGGTCAAAACATGGACAAAAGAACTGAATTCCAGAGATGAGGTGAGAGTGACAGCCCTTGACGTTAAGGCTGCAGTCAACTGAGTGGCATCAAGGAGCCCTAGCAGAACTGGAATCAATGGGTATCAGGGGGCAAACTCTCCAGTGGATGGAGTCACAGAGAAAAATGGCCGTGGTTGTTGGAGGTTAGTCATCTCAGGTCCAGGACATCTTTGCAGGTGTTCCTTAGGATAGTGTCCTAGGCCCAACCATCTTCAGCTCCTTCATCAATGACTTCCCTCCATCATAAGGTCTGAAGGGGGGATGTTCACTGATGATTGCACAATGTTCAGCACAATTTGTGACTCCTCAGATACTGATGAAGTCCGTGTTCAAATGTATCAAGATCTGGACAATATTCAGGCTTGGGCTGATAAGTGGCAAGTAACATGCATGCCACACAAATGCCAGATTATGAGCATTACCAATAAGAAACAATCTAACCACTGCCCCTTGACGTTCAACAGTGTTATCATCACTGAATCCCTTACTATCAACATCCTGGGGGTTATCATTGATTAGAAACTCTATTGAACTCATCACATAAATGTAGTAGCTACAAGAGCAGGTCAGAGGCTGGGAATTCTGCAGCAAGTAACTCACCTCCTGATTCCCCAGAGCTTGTCACCATCTACAAGGCACAAGTCAGAAGTGCGATGGAACACACCCCATTTGCCTTGATAAGTGGGACTCCAACAACACTCAAGAAGCTTAACGCCGTCCAGGACAAAGCAGTCTGCTTGATTAGCATTACATCCACAAGCATCCACTCCCTCCACCACTGATGCTCAGTAGCAGCAGTGTGCACTATCTACAAAATGCATTGCAGATATTCACCAAAGATCCTCAGACAGAACCTTCCAAACCCACAAACACTTCCATCTAGTAGGACAAGGGCAACAGATATGCCGTCAAGTTCCCCTCCAAGCCACTCACCATCCTGACTTGGAAATATATTGCCGTTTCTTCACTGCCACTGGGACAAAATCCTGGAATTCCCACCATAATAGCATTGTGCGCCAACCTACAGCAGGTGGACTGCAGCAGTTCAAGAAGGCAGCTCACCACCATCTTCTCAAGGGCAACTAGGGATGGACAAGAATTGCTGGCCAGCCAGTGGCACCCACATCCCAAAAAATGAATATTTTTTTTTTAAAAATTGTCTTTTTTCAGGAAATCAATCTCTACCTTTTTCCCTATTTTCTTGGGGGACAGAGATGGGGGTGGTGATTTCATTTATACATCTATTGTATTGACAGTATGTTAAGTGATTACTGTATATTTATTGAATATGTTTTGCTTTGGTAACAATATATAATTAAGCTTAATAAGAAACCCACTTGATAAATCTTCTCAGGTGAAAAGCTAATATAGATAAGGATAAAAAATGTTTCAAAAAACATGGAACAAACTAAAGCCACGATCCCATTTTTCCAAAGTAAACAGCTCAAATCAGACAGCACCCTTTTGGATGTTGCCATTTAACCATGTATCTACTCTATACCTGAAGATGCTACATAATTTACCCAACATAACGATAAATTACCTTACTTTGGCAGCAAATTCTGACCGAATCAGTTGAACCTCCCATAAAAGTTAATTACAAATCGTGTTAGCTAAATCTTTGCAAATTAAGTTATTGTTAACAAAGAACATATTAAATGGAGATTATTGAACAGCTAATTATGCCTGCGCCTTCAAAACCAAGGAATTTTGGGTTGAGTGTAATAAGTCAAATGTTAACTCTGCTTTCTCTTCTCAGATTCTACCAGACCTGCCGAGTTTCTCCAAAAATTTCCGCTGTTGTTTCAGATTTCCAACATCCATGGGTCTTTGTTTCATTTTAGTAAGAAAGTCTTGTCGAAAGACAGTCAAGTGGGTTTGCAGCAAGAGTAAATTTATATGTTTATCGAGACACCTAAGCTATTTTTAATTTATATTTCAGACGTGTTGTATTAAGTATATTGGATGCAAATCTCCAGAATCCAGTATTTACTGAATTAGGAAACTTTCTGCCACAAAATATTGGGGGTGGCCTCTCTGCCTCGAGGGTAAAGCAAAAGCAATCCTACTCCAGGCAGGGAGTCACTTCAAAGTCTAATGGGGACATCAAAACAGAGACTAGACATGAATATTAATGACATTCCCTGGGAAATAAATCTAGGTAAATAGAACATTAATACAAGGGAATCGCGAGTCAAAATGATAGTAGCTTATGTTCATATAGGATTGAACTCTTCACACCTCTTTAAAGCAGGATTGATAGAAACCAGTTCTTGCAGGAGGACTGAGTCGTCACGAACATTCAAATGCATTTCGAAAGATTAATGTAAGGCTTGGCAAACTGTTTATGATTCCTTGACAGATGTCTTTGATGCTTCATAATGCTAAACATTATGTGTGTCAAGGCACTGAGCTTCCTCCTGCTTCTATTAATAAAACCAAAGTGGATTGCTACTGGCATTATGTAATGGACAATGCTTGAAGATTAGAAGGCTTTCCTTCCTCCCAGACATTACAATTGTGAGCAGCGCTGCTCTTCGACATTCAGAGGTCTGAAAAAGTAGGAAGCGGGTACAATTTTAATCCGAAGTCAAGTTCATCTAATTGCTTCATGATCTGATAACAGTGGTTAGATCATTATTATCCTGAGGCGATAATGTTTGGCTATTTGGTCACCTTCACTCTGAAACCCCTCCTATCCCAAGAAAGAAAGAACTTGCGCAGAAAAAAATGTCACTGACATCCTCAGGATATCTGCACTACTCACAAGTGGAGAAGAGGGATGTGGCAGACAATTTGAGCAGAATTGATTGATTGATTGATTGATTGTCGCATGTGTCGAAGTACAGCGATAAACTTTGTTTACAAGCAGTGAGAGCAGATCATAGTAGGTAAGGAAGTACAGATCAAAAGACTTAGACAGAGGCATACAGGTTACAATGCACAGGGCATGTGTTAGATGAGATCAATGTTAGCAAGATCAGCATTATTTGAGGCTAGAGAGTCCATTTATCAGACTGATATGGCTGGGAAGAAGCTGTTCCTGAACCTGCTGATGCATGCCTTCAGGCTTCTCTATCCAAGGGCAGAATGTATTGCTCATGGCAGTAGAGGTTTTCCACTGATTAAGGAGCTAGGTACAACCCTGCCACCAGCATTCTGAGCCCCAGCCCACCCATTTTAAAATCCATCAGGCACATGCCTCGTTAGCATTATGGATCTTCATCATGTATAGGGCAAACATCTAC